CTGATATTCTAGAATTCTATTGATTTTCATAAACATGTTTAGAGCATTGGGCTAGGCAATTTAAAGGCCACCTCAAGATTCAAAGTTCTAAAAGTTTTCAGATTTTTGAATCCAATTTTATTTCCTCTAATACCCGAATCCAACCCTATCCTTGAACACTAGATTGTTTCACTCAGCATTCTAAAATCCTTTTCATTTTTCTTCCCCCCTCCCCAAGATTATTCCTCTCTCTGAACTTTTATATACTCTAGCATTGGGTCCTTTCACTGAAATAAAAATTGCTGTTATCACACAGGATAAAATACATTGTGTTCCTCTCTCTGTAGCACAGTTCTCTACTTCACACATTTTAATTATTAGGTCCCTAAATGGAAGTTATTACCTAACAGACAGGCTATTAATGGTACATTTGCAGGAGACTGAAATCTTTCTGATAATTGTAAGTTCATGATTATGAAAATAAATAGCATTGGATGATGAAATTAAATTTTACAGAGTAAGAGAAGCATAAAAGTATACAGTATTCTCAATCATTACATTGAAAGTGAGATCAAAGCTAAAGGAAAGGAGAATAGGATGGAACCAGTCTCATAGCTTTCTCAAGGACATTATCTTCCATACCTGTGATTGTCATCATCGAGAAGGCTTTTGAAAACTGCACCAATGCTGATTCTTTTTGTTTGCTGCAGTATTGATTGTTCTCTATAGAAATCTCCCCAAGGAATCCTCCAACCAGTGGAGACTGATTTACACTTAGCCACACTTCACTGCAGTTGCATATATTTGGATGGTTTGAGTCAAACATTCAATTGACAATCATTTATTAAGCACTTAACCATGTGCCAGTCAACGTGCTAAGGGCTTGGAATACAATAAAAGGCAAAAAATATGGTTCCTGCCTTCAAAGAGCTCACATTCTGATGAGAGAGATGACATGAAAATAATTATATGTAGAAGATATGTATGTACATATATATATATGTCTATACATATGTAAAATATGTATGTTAAAGAGAAGATAATCTCAGAGGGAAGGCTTCTGTTTTTCTCATGTGTACCAGTATGCTTAAAGAGTTGACTCATAAATGACTATACTTATAATGCCCTTGTGCATCTGGGAGAGGTCTCACACCTATTGCAATGTCTAATGGTGTGCCCAGAATTTCATTCCAAGGCTCCATAGGATTTAAGATATGTAAAGCTCATTTTTTTCTTTTCCATTTTATTTAATATTTTCCCCCAATTATATGTAAAAACAATTTTTAACATCAGTTTTATAAAATTTTGAGTTCCAAATTCTCTCCCTCCCTCCTTTCCTTCCTCCTTCATTGAAAAGGCAAGCAATTTGATATTTTATACATGTGCAGTCATGCAAAGTATATTTCTATATTAGCCATGTTATGAAAGAAAATAAACACCAATCAAACAAGCAAACAAGAAAGAGAAAGTTTAAGAAAGTATGCTTCAGTCTACATTCAGGATCCATTCGTTTTTTTCTCTGGAGACGAATGGCATTTAACATCATAAGTCTTTTGGAATTATCTTAGACCAGAGGTGGGGAACCTGTGGTCTGGAGGCCACATGTGGCTTTCTCCTTCCTTGAGTGCAGCCTTTTGACTGAGTCCAAGTTTTACAGAACAAATCCTTTTATTAGGGAGATTTGTTTTGTGAAGTTTGGACTTAATCAAAGGGTTGCCCTTGAGGACCCAGAGGGCTTGTAGCCTTGAGGCTGCAGGTTCCCCACCCCTTTCTTAGATCATTGTACTGCTAAGAATAGTTAAGTCTTTCACAGTTGATCATGGTACAATACTGCTGTTACTGTGTACAGTGTTCTCCTGGTGCTGCTCATTTCACTTTGCATCAGTTGATGTAAATCTTTCCAGGTTTTCCTCAGAGTATTCTGTTCATCATTTCTTATAGCACAATAGTATTCTATTACATTCATATGCAATAACTTGTTCAGCTATTCCCCAGTTGATGGGCATCCCCTCAATTTCCAATTCTTTGCCACCACAAAAAGAGTTACTATAAATATTTTTGTACATATAGATCCCTTTTCTTTTTTTTTTTAATCTCTTTGGGATACAAACCTAATAGTGATATTGCTGAGTCAAAGAGTATGCGTGGTTTTATAGACAATTGAACATAGTTCCAAATTGTTCTCCAGAATGATTGAATCAGTTCCCAACTCTACCTGTATTACTCTACCAATTTTCCCACATCCCTTCCAACATTTGTCATTTTCCTTTTCTATCATATTAGCGAATCTGATAGGTGTGGGGTGGTATCTCAGAGTTATTCCAATTTAGATTTCTCTAATCAATAGTGATTTTGAGCATTTTTTCATATAACTATAGATGACTTTGATCACTTTATCTGAAAACTGCCTTTTCATAACCTTTGACCATTTATCAATTGGGTAAATTGGGTCAATTGGGTAAACTGTAAATTTTTTTCACAATTATGATAACTTACTGTATTTCTCTGCATCCTATTCCTTCCCCTCCTGCATATCCTACTCTCTCTCCTTTCACCCTGTCCATCCTCAAAGGTGTTTTGCTTCTGACTACCAGCTCCCCCAGTCTGCCCTCCCTTTTATTAGTCTCTCCCCACCTTCTTTGATCCCTTTCTCCTCCTATTTTCCTGTAGGGTAAGATAGAGTTCTATACCCAACTAAGCATATTTGTTATTTCCTCAGAACCTTTTTCTAAGGAAAGTAAGGTTCATGTGCCCCCTACCTCTCCCATCTTCTCCTTCTCTGTAAAAGCTCTTTTGTGCCTCTTTTATGTGAGGTTATTTACCCCATTCTACTCTCCTTTTCCCCTTCCAGTGCATTCCTTTTTCTCACTCCCTAATTTTGCTTTTTTAGATAACCATCCTATCATATTCAACTCACACTCATGCCTTCTGTCTATGTATACTCCTTCTAACTACCCTAATAATGATAAAGTTCTTAGGAGTTAAAAGTATCATCTTCCTATGTAGGAATGTAAACAGTTTAACCTTATTGAATTCCTCATGATTTCTCTTTCCTATTTACCTTTTTATGCTTCTTTTGGGTCTTGTATTTGAAAGTCAAATTTTCTGTTCAGCTCTTGTCATTTCAGCAAGAATTGAAAGTCTTCTGTTTCATGTAATATCCATTTATTTTTCTGGGTAGATGATTCCTGTTTGTACTTCTAGCATCTTTGTCCTCCAGAATATCATATTCCAGGCCCTCCAATCCTTTAATGTAGAAGCCGCTAAACCTTGTGTCATCCTGACTGTGGCTCCATGATATTTGAATTGTTTCTCACTGCCTTCAATAGTTTTTCCTTGACTTGGAAGCTCTGGAATTTGTATATAATATTCCTGGGAGTTTTCATTTTGGGATCTCTTTCAGGAGGTTTGGTAGATTCTTTCTTTTTTTTTTTGTGAGGCAATTTGGGTTAAGTGACTTGCCCAGGGTCACACAGCTAGTAAGTGTCAAGTGTCTGAGCCCAGATTTGAACTCAAGTCCTTCTGATTCCAAGGCCAGAGGTCTATCCACTGTGTCACCTAGTTTTCCTGGTAGAGTTTTTCAATTTCTATCTTTCCCTCTGGTTTTAGAATATCAAGGAAGTTTTCCTTGATAATTTCTTGAAAGAAGATGTCTAGGCTTTTTTTTGATCATGGTTTTCAGGTAGTCCAATAATTTAAAAATTATCTCTCCTCAATCTATTTTCCAGGCCAGTTGTTTCCCCAAAGAGATATGTTACATTTTCTTCTCTTTTTTCATTCTGAGGATTTTGTTTTATGTATACTTCTGTGTACGTATAGTTATATAATCTCCTTCTGACCAGTTGTCTGACCCCCTTACCATCTGTGGGCTGAGAGTTCCACTGCTGCCACTGCTGATTGTCACCCGCCTTAAAGTCTATTTTTTTAACATCTTTGCTGAAAAATTTAATCTTTAACAAATAAATGGAGAGAAGTGATCTTAGCCTTGCTATGATTTTTGTTACGTAAGTTGTTTGGGGAATCAAGTCAATTTGTGTCAGCCTTTATTAAGCTCTTGCTGCATTCAGGCACTGTGCTAAATGCTAAGGATACAAAGAAAGGATAAAGTTGTCTCTACCCTTATTCCAATGAAAGAGAAAAACCACAAATAGCTATGTTCACACAGGTTATAGGTAGAAAGGGTAAATTAGAGATCATATCACAGGAAGGCACTGGGAAGGGAAGGGAGTTCTTTTGCAGACTGTAGGATTTGAGCTAACTTTTAAAGGAAGCTAGGAAAGACAGGAGGCTTCCAGGCATGGGGAGCAGCCAGTGCAAAGGCATGAAATCCAGGGATGGAGGGTCATGTGTAGGGAACCGCAAGTAGGCCAGTATAGATGGATCAGAGAGTGTATAACATAACTGTATAGTATGGAAGTTAAGGAAAAACAAAAAAATACTAAGAAGCCAAGTTGTGAAAGGCTTTGAAAACCAAATAGAAGATTTTATATTTGGTTTTAGAGTTAATAGGGAACCACTGAGGTTTACTAAGTAGAAGAGTGACATGGACAATGACCTGTCCTTTAGAAAGATCACTTTGGCAACTGAGTGGACTATAGGGAGGATAGACTTTAGATGGAGAGACCAACCAGAAGGCTATTGCAATTATCTAGGCATGAGAGCCTGCACTAGGGTGGCAGAAGTATCAGAAGAGAAAAGGGGATATGTAAAAAAAAATGTTGTAAAGATAGAAACAACAGGGCTTGACCACAGAATGGATATGTGGGGTGAGTCATCTTTAAATATACCCTTGCATGTTAAGAATGAGAAAAAAGCATTGTTAGCATTTGGATTGAGAAGCCTTGAGAAAAACACCCAAAGGATTGCTGTATTTCCCCGTTTCAGCACTTTCTTTGCTTCGTTATTCTTTTGCCTTTCTTGAGCCATTTATAATTTTCTTCTTTGAGAAGCTGACAATTTGCTCCGTTTTGTGTATTCTTTCTGTTTGTTCTGATAAGTGTTGTCCCTAGACAGCAAGCATGCTAGTGGTTGTGGTAGGGAAAGTGTGTTTAAATTCCTTTTGTAGCAATTGAGGAGATTTCTCCCCAGTTAATGAGGCTCTTGGTCAGGTTCTCTATGTACCATACTGCACACAGAATCTTTTGCAGTTAGATCCTTAATAAATGCCATTTGAAAAGGAGAAATATCTTTCTCAAGTCAGACCCTTATTGAACAGTGAGACCCTTTCTACAAAGAACACATTTTCATCCAAGTATTTCCTTCAAGGGAAATAGTTACTTTTGATTCGGGGGAGCAATTTGTGTAGCAAGAGAGGGGAACCAAAGAAGGAGATAGGACTGAAATCTAGTTCCCACTGGCAGCCACCATCCTCACCCAAAACACACACATACACACAGAGCCTTGCTATTCTTCTGCTAATGCGATTGGCACCGCTTAAAGCAGTCTGCGAGGGCATTGTCTGCGACCACAGCAAGAGAAACATTATTCAAAGGCCATTCAGACTCGAAAAGAAGCGGCCAGAGCAGAGTAATTATCGAAGGCTCTCCATTAACTAGGACATCTTTGCTCTTTGTGTGTGTTGGTTTAATAAGGCCCACTAATGGGACTGTGGGGGAGGGGGCACACTAATGGGTCTTTAAAAAAACCTTCTTTCCCTCTTTATTTTCAGAGGCTGCCTTTAGAGAAACTGACAGTAAAGCCAGAAGTTACCATATTGCAAACTGACCTTCAAAAAAACTTGGTGCGGACCCCAGCTGCTTATGGAGACTCGGGTATTCAGAATGCTCTAACATCTTTGTCTTTTGCTTTCCTTTTAAGTTGGAGGTGAGTTTATCCCCGTTCCTTGTATATTTCCGCTGTGTCTTTGCCCTTTGGTTCCCTGGGAATTTCTCGTTGGAAAGAGCATCCCTTAGTGGCAAGAGTGTGTAATGACATGACGAAGAGATTTCTGGCTGAAAGAGTTTTATTATTTTAGTAATTTGCAGGGACACCTCTAAGAAACACCACTCCTGTCTGACTCAGCTCTCTTAGCCACTTAGAATGAAGAAGTCCAAGGTCGGGTGAGTTATTAATATTAACACAAACCAATAATATGGCTAGGTTGCCATAAGTATGAATAAAACTAAATGAGATTGAATACCTTCTGCTACCCTACTCCAATAACAGATTTATATGTATATAAATCAGTTTCAATGTTTTCCATAAAACAAACAGTTGTACCTCACATAAACTTACTTTGCCATTCAAAATTAAAAACCAGACACATATAATCTCAATGAAAACTTAAAATAATTTCATTATGTGACTGTCTATCCAAAGTTTATTTATCGTGACTGGGGATTGCCTTATAAAAAGGAACAATTCTATCATGAAAAATTCATCCCCAATTGTTGTTACTAAACATATAGTCTTAATAACCTCTATAAATGCTAATGGGGTGAGGAAAAGTAGCTCTGCACTGGCTGAGTGAGAGAATCATCAACTAATCAATCAACAAGCATTTATTAAGTATAGGGAGTAACAAACAAAAGCATAGAGGCAGAAGACATGGTACATTTAGAGGGCAAAGGAATACGCTCTATCTTCACCTCTACTTCATGGAATCCCTTGGATCTTTCAAAGCACAGCTCAGGTGCCACATCCCACAGAAGGCTTTCCCTGGTCTCTTCGAGACTTAGCACTCTCTCGGTCTCTGTGTTTGCCTCTGTCCCTCTGTCCCTCTGTATCTCTGCCTGCTTGTCTGTCTATCTATCTGTCTGTCTCTGTCTCTGTCTCTGTCTCTCTCATTCTGGTTAATAATAATGATAAATGGATCATTGTCACTACCTGTCTCTGACTTCTATTCTTACTGGAAGTTGATAAATAAGACCAGAGAAAGTCCTGTAAGTGAAGGGGTAATTAAGGAAGGCCCCTGCTAGCCTAATACTGTTGGTCCTAGTCCTAGATTAAATTTATTTTTTAAATTTACTATTTTATTTTTCCCCAATTACATGTAAAAAATTTTTAACATTTGTTTTTAAAATTTTGAGTTCCAAATCATCTCCCTCCCTGTGGACCCCCCCACCTCACCATTGACTAGCAAGCAATTTGATTTAGATTATACATGTGTAGTCATGCAAAACATATTTCCATATTAGTCATGTTATAAAAGAAAACATAGACCAAAAAAAACCCCAAGAAAAATAAAGAAAGTAAAAAAAAAAAAGGTATGCCTCAATCTGTATTCAGACTCCATCAGTTCTTTCTCTGGAGATGGATAACATTTTTCATCATAAATCCTTCAGAATTGTCTTAGATCATTGTATTGCTGAGAATAGCTAAGCCATTCACAGTTGATCATTTTACCATATTGCTGTTACTGTGTACAATGTTCTCCTGCTTTTGCTCATTTCACTTTGCATCAGTGCATGTAAGTCTTTCCAGGTTTTTCTGAGAGCATCCGGCTCATCATTTCTTGTAGCACAATAGTATGCCATCACAACTAGATTAAATTTAAAGACTTCTAAAGGATCATGAAAAGAAAAAGAAGTGTCATTGTTGGACATGGCTGATCACTTCTAATTATATACTTCTCCAAAATTTTAAATATTTCAAAATTGTGGTTGAAAACAAAAGTATCAGCTTTTTAAAAAAAAATCTTGGTAAGGGTATATGAAAACTAAAACTCATATGCCTAACCTTGGCTGTCCTTCTCTGTTCCTTTTTTGCCTTGCCACATAAGTGAATGGAGGAACTTGGCCAGGATTTCCCCCTTCTGTCTCTTCCTTATCCATTGCACTGTATGTGCTATCTGCAGATTAATCTTCCTGATTCACAGTTTTCATTATGTCACTGAGCTTTTTAGAAACCTTGAAGAATTCCTCATTGCTGACTAAATAAAACCCTTATCAATCTGGCTCCAACCTGCCTTTTCTGTTTTATCTCATGCTATACATCTTCATATATGTTATACATTCCAACCAAACTGAACTACTTGCCATCCTTAAGAAAGTGACGTTGCTCTCAAGGCTTGACTTCTGAGTTTCCTTTCATGTCTACATCTATGATATATCTCTCTTGTTTTCCTGCCTCCATGTCTTTACTCACACTGTTCTTTAAACCTTGAATGCTGTTCCATTCATCTCCACCTATTTAAATCATTCCCATTTACTAGAAATCAGGAGGAGCAGTGGATAGAGCTTTGGACCTGGAATCAGGGAGACCTGAGTTCAAATCTGACCTCAGACACTAACTGTGTGACCTTGAGCAAGTCATTTGACCTGTCTCAGTTTTCTCATCTGTAAAATGGGTTATTATAGTACCTACTTCCCAGGGTTGTTGTGAGGATCAAATAAGAGTATATTTGTAAAGCACTTACTGTAGGGCCTAGCACTTCAAGACTCAGGTAAAATGCATCTCCTCTATGAAGCCTGCCTTGATCTTCTCAGTCTTTCCTGCCTCAGAACAGGCCTCACTTTGTTTAACCTCTCTTATACCACCTATTTTGCATTATGTTAGTCTGTGAAGTGGCAATATTTCCATTATTTGGTTGTAAATTCCTTAAACAAAAGATCACATCTTATTTAGCTTTGTATCTCCTTCAGTCCCTAGCATTATGCTTTGGACAGAATAAATGCTTAGTAAGTTTTGAACATTGATTGAATGATTGTTGAATGCTAAATGGAATCTCCTCTGTAGTTGTTTAGTCATTTTCAGTCATGTCTGACTCTTTATTGACCCCATTTGGGATTTTCTTGGCAGAAATACTGGAGTGGTTTGCCATTTCCTTCTCTAGCTCATTTTGCAGACGAGGAAACTGAAGCAAACGAGGTTAAGTGATTTACCCAGGGTCACACAGCTAGTAAGTATCTGAGGCCAGATTTGAAGTCAGGAAGAGGAGTGTCCCTGACTCCCTTTATCCACTGTTCCACCTAGCTGCCCTCTAAGACTGTCTATTTAAAAACACACCTTCCATTCATCCAATAAAACATAAAGTTCCCTAAGACCAGGTATTGCTTCATTTGTCCTTGTATATCCATTAGCTAGCACAGCACCTGGTGCATAGAACATGCTTAGTAAAAGATTTGTTAGATTGAATTCATTCAGTCAGGCACCAAATATTTACTGGGCACCTGCAAAGTAATAATAGCTCACATAACATAGCACTTCAAGGTTTGGAAAATCCTTAATATGCATCATCCCATTTGATCCTCACAACAATCCTGTAAGATAGGTGCTATTATTGTTCTTATTTTGCAATTAAAAAAACAGGTTCAGAGAGGCTAACAGGGGTGTGGAACATGCAGCCTAGTGGTTCCCCACCCCTGGGCCACTAAGAGACTTGCTTAAGGTTACACAGCAAATCTGAAGTAAGATTTAAACCTAGTTCTTCCCCAAGTACAACACTGTCTAATATACTCTGCTGCTTTCTCAAAATACTGCATTACGAGCTTTGGGGAAATACAAAGAATATCTTTTCCATTTGTTGAAAAGAAAATAAATAAAAGAAGAGACGGTAATATTGTTGATTGAATAGACACAATTGAAAAAAATAAAACCTGAATTGGTATTCATGGTGATGAAGTTAAAAAGGTAGGCAATGAGAACATGAAATTCCTCTCCCTCAGACAGTCACAATATCGACCTCCATTACAGTGAAGCCATCAAATTTCCCTAATAGCCCTATGTTACCTGATCTTTTCAGAATGTATTTTCAGACTGATTTTAGAACTATGGTTAAATCTGCTTTTATTCTTTTTCAGGGAACTAAAAAAGGAGAAAGATTCTCATCAGGGAAGCATTAAACAGTGGCAAAAGGGCCTTACGGACCATTGGATAGAGTTCTAAAATTTGAATGCTATATGCTGGGGAGCAGCAGAAAATGTGGAAAACAGTATGAATTGTATGTGTGTGTGTGTGTGTGTTATGATGACTGATGATGGAAGAAATGTTCCTTGGTTCACAAGGAAGGAATAAAAACTTCATTTAAAATGTGAAATAGGCCATCCTTCTTTGAAGGGTACCTATGAGAATAAAATAGTGGGATGATATTCCTCATTGTATATCTTACATCTGAACTGAATTTCTTTTATGGGAATGAGTCTTGTAATAACCAAGATAATTTGGCCATGTTAAAGAACAATCAGTCCTCCACATAAGGCTATGAATGAGAAGTTAATAAGAGGCAGTGAAGAGGCAGCTAGGTGGTACAGTGGATAGAGTACTGGCCCAGGAGGACCTGAGTTCCAATTTGACCTCAGATGCTTACTAGCTATGTGACCCTGGGCAAGTCACTTAACCCTGATTGCCTCTCAAAAAAATAGGTAGTGAGGGGTTGTTTCTTCTCCCTCCACCCTCTCGACTAGCTTCTGTGTCATAGACTTGGTGAGTTCTGCCTTCTAAGGCTTTCACAAAGTAGCCATAAGTTAAGCTGCCTAGCCTGCCCCAGCTTTCTTGGAAGAAGTTAGGGAATAGAAAAGAAAAATATGGAGGTGAGAAGATTCTTTGAATGCCAATACATAATGGGATATGCTGAGCAGCACCCAGGCTGAGAACTGGGGAAAAGTTCCTAACTTGTGCCCGAGTCCATAGAAAATCAAGCAAAAAAGCTTCTTTCCCATTTTTGATACCCTCTCTTTCTTATCTTAATGGAGAATCATACAAATGCAATTTTCCCATTTGGTGAGCCTTACCTTTCCCAGGGACCTCCTAAAAGAAATGGAAAGTGGAAACTTAGTGGAACAGCGTGAGTAGAAGACAGTTATCCTAACACCCAAAGAGGCCCTTTGTTTCTAGAAAAGTGTGTGGGAATTGGGGTAAGAGTATAGGGGTAGCAAAATGACCCTGGAGTTACTCTGTCCAGTAGTATGAAACAGTTGTGAAAGACCTATAATACTATGATCCTAATAGAACACTTTCTGTAGAGTGTCTGCGGAAGGAGAACCCATCAGCATAAAACAAAACTGAGGACGATACACAGCAGAAATCTGAAGGCTTATCCATGTCTGCAGAAATCCTGACCTTGCCCCTCTAATAGAGTGACATATTGGCAGTTCTGGGAATCACAGACCCTGATGGTTCTTCAATAAGGAAAGAAGGGAAGAGGCACCGAAAGTGAGAAAGAGGCTCCCCTGATTTCCTATCAGCTCAGGTACTTTATGTGTACGCTACTGTGTAAATAAATCTGATTTTGTATTTGAGGTTTTATGAGCCTAGGTGCTTATAAGGGGAGGTGATGGCTACTCTTTGGGGGAATTCCATGCATTGGTGTTCCCAGGTTCCATCTGGGTGAGAGCAAACTAGCCAGGAAGATGAGAGGCTCCCCAAATTAGCAGGGTATTTCATGTGAGGAATGAACCATTTTAAACTATCTGGATTCATTGGATTAACAAAAGTGATATATTTGAAAAATGAAATAATTTTATTATACATTTACTATGTTTATGAGACCCTGGTTCAGGACCTCATCACTTCTTGCATGGACTATTGTAATAACTTCTTAATTGACTTCCCCCATTGAAGAGTCTCTTCTCTTTCCAATCCAGCCTCTACATTGCTGCCCACCAAAGCCTTTCTAAAACATAGCTCTAACCATTTCAATTTCCCAAAATTTTCGGTGACTCTCTGTTGCCTCTAGGATAAAATGCATGTAAGGCCCTCCACAATGTGAGCCCACCCTACTTTCTTGGACTTATTTCATATGATTCCTTTTCATAAAATCTACATACCCATCACTCACTAAATACTCCTCTTGAAGATAATGAAGGTCCCTCCTCCTACTCTTCACAAAGGAAGAAATCAATCTCCTTTGGAGGAAAGAGGGAGGGACTAGATTCTAGCTAAGATATCTTTCCATGACACATGAAAACCAGGACACAACCCAGCTATATCTATCTTATATTAGTTATCCTAACTCACTGGGAATGAGAACAAAGTACCTCTGGTTGAGGATGAGCTGTGAAGTCTTTGCACATTTGTGTGCATCTAAAATCAAATTTATTCAAAAGATATTTTAGAGTATAATCAACTGGCCTTAGTTTCATGCAATTATTGTAGTGAGTTTTCAGTCTTTGGCTTTCTTGGTGGATTCATCTATCAGATGTTGACACTTTGTAGGATAAGTAGCACTCCAACAGCTAAAAACACACAGTTCTTTTTTTGAATTTATTTCTCCCCAATTACATGTAGAAACAATTTTGAACACTCATTTAAAAAAATTTTTAGTTCCAAATTCTCTTCCTCCCTCTTTCCCCTCTA